TATATATATATATATATATATATGCTTTATCCACTATAAGGCATCTTAAAAGTTGAACTTCCAGCATATCAAATAGCCTGATAGATGACATGTCGAGAAGCGACTAATAATCATAGGGAAATTTCTCTAGGAAGGAGAAGTGGCAATCAAAGATCTGCACCGCATTAAAAGTAGTGTTCTTCCATAAAGATGAGACAAATTCATTACATGCCCTCCTTCCATTTGTCTCTTCTCATGGATCCTTGATGAGCTATAGGGTCCCTCCTCCCGTCGTGTGGGATCTTGGGAGGGCACACCTCTCCAGCTTGTGAGGTTTCATACTGCCTCGTCCTCCGTCACCTGAAGTGTCTTGGGGGAAGGAAGAAGGAATGTTCTCCCATTGTTGTGCCATATCCATTCTCACAAAGCGCTCCCTTCTCTCGCAAAGAGAGATCTCTGTCAAATCCCCTACAGAGAATATTTTTTTTAGAACATATAAAAATAATAGAGACAAGATTGAATCGAGAAGGGCATCCTTTCATACCTAAGTACATCTCCACCCTATTTTTCGTTTCCACAATCCCTAGTAATAAGAGTATGGGATTCTAGGAAACAAAAACATCTCAAAATCTAAATTACTTCACGTTCAAGAGAGAAGGACACTTGGGTCTATCCTTTGGGTAATTTTTGGATACAACGTCTAGGATATAGGGAAAAAGGGTCAGCGATCACCCCTGCAGTTGTTGGGAAAGCATCACCCCACCGTATCACCTACATAAATTTGTATTTCTAATCCTCATAAGGGTTCGTGAAGGGCTTTAGTAAACATTTGCCTGACAGAGTATGCGACGTCACCCAATCATTGTTGGGGATAATTTACGTTCTAAAGAAATAAAGGAACACCCCCATGGCAGGGGATATGCCTAGGCTGCAACAGACTATTTGAAAAGCCTTGAGCATGCCCCATATGTTTTCAGTAATATGAGAAGGGTCAACGTTGATTACATTTTGAAAATTCTCTTCTAAAGAAGTAAATGTTACCAAAACTCTCAGCTTATGAATAATGGAAAGGTGAATATAAAAAAGGGAGCAAAAGGCTCGTCACAGGTATCCATGTTGTACTTCTCTCCCTCTGAACAAGGTTCCATGATCACATCTTCCTCACACCTTATGTTTGGGAAAACATAATACCACGATGAAACCTATTCATCATATATGTAGTAGAGTACAAAGACGCAATGTCTCGAGCATGAACAAGTTTAGCTTTCTTCCCTATGGTCACTTGAGGGTAGAGAAATGAAAAAAATAAGATGCTTTCACACTAAGGAAAATGAGTGAGCTTTTCACTTTCCTCACTGTTAACCTAGGCTGATATACTCTTATGGAAACAGAGAAATGGAAAAAAAGAAGAAGAGAAAAAGGGGTTGCTTTTAAATAATATATGAGAAACCCAATAATAAAAGTCATACATTCACCTAATAGGGTAACTACAACAGGAAACACAAAAACCCCTACACCTAGAGGACACGTGTAAGCAAGAGAAGACAAACTGATTTTCCCAAGGAACGTCATCACGAGGTGCATTAAATGATCAATACTGACTCTTTTTCCATTAAAATACCCAAGTTTTCAATAATGGTTGACTTTTTGATATCTCACTATCTAATCGAGAGATGTAAGGCATGTGTCTCTATCCCCTAACTATCTTAGAGGTGTTCACATAAGAATAAATGGTCACCCTCGACGGGGGGACTCACCTCAAGCTAAGGGACTCGCCTTAAATTTAGGGACTCACCCTTTTATCAAATAGCTGCCTTCAGGTGGGGGACTATCCCTTTAAGTAAATAATCGCCTTCAGTTGAGGGACTTGCCTTTTAATAAGTAGTCATCATCAGCTAAGGGACGTACTGAAGGGCGGAGGGCGTACCTCTTAAGACGCTTTAAAAATAATTCACCCTTAATAAAGCCCTCGTACTCGAGGGACTGTGTATTTTTATATTTGTTAGTGTTCTCAACAAGGGCGCCCTCGCCCATGTGTGACGTTGCCTGAGCGATATTCTAACCAGAATAAGGGGCTCTCCCTCGTTACTGGTGACATGTGTAAAGCCATTAGTACATGGTTTCTCATAACTGTGGCAATTCATAACCACTGTTATTTGTTATACACTTACAAAGGCCCCCAAGTCCCCCTGCCATTGTAGGATGAATATGTACACATGTACTTTCTAACTAGTACAACTCTCTTAATTATGCCTTAAGAACATATAGGAACATCCAACAATATTTTTTCTTATGTAAGTTTTTATTTCACTTTGATTGTATTTAAAATTTCTAACTATAAATTATTATCAATAACTTATTTATGCTTTGCTTTTAAGACACTGGAAAATTTCATACTCGTGCCCATGAATATATCCATCACGACGATTATATTCAACCTTATTTGGAGCGAGCCAATTTTGGTCATGTTATCAAATTTGTGTCCTATGTTATTGATGCTAGAATGATGGAGACCCGAAACAAACATCTTTCATCTTCTAATCAGGGAATGCAGTGTAACACTCGAGGATGTGTACATGTTGTTGGACTTACATATTGATGGTAAGATACTAAATGGAAAAACCAATGTAGATGAGTCAATATCCAAGAAATTTTTGGATATTCCGTTGACAAAATGTTATGAAGGGCCAAGGTATTAAACATATTTGGCTTAAAATTCTACGCGGTCGTTTGGGATTAACCAAAGAGTCTACCGAGCAACAAAAATAATTAAAATTAGGATTCCTATCATGCTACTAATATATTTATTTTTATTTTCGAATACTTCTAGTTGTAGGGTACATATCATGTTAAGAAGTATAGATAAAATAGGAACATATAGTTAAGGTTCCATATCTTTAGTGTGTCTCTATAAATCTTTTGTAAAACCCAAAAGGTAGGCTCATATACTTTTGTTGGATGTGCCATTTTTCTCCAAGGATATAGTTGGTTGAGAATTTCGTCCCTTGCACATGTCAATCACCAGAACTTCACATTCCCACACGCAAAAAAGAAAGTTTCTAACTCCATATATATTTTCATTTACTTAATTTATACTATTAACTATAAATTATTTATTTTATTTTATTTAGTTTAGGTGGTCTGTGGGATGAATTACAATAGATCTTCTCGACACTACATCATGGATTATCAAAATCTCTTAGATCACATGTGACCAAACGATGTATTACCACAAAACTTTTCATTTCATAGTAATTTATTTTTAATATTAACATTATTTTTTTAACTAGTAAATATGTTTTCTGCCACATTTTATTTGGAGGTCGTATCTAGATCCAAAAGATCATCATTAAAGGTATGAAGAAGATACAGTCGTCTGGACTACAACAACACCGACTATCATGTTCATTGCTGTAAAGATGCACCATAATGATCATATGAAACTACAGTCCGACATGCATCAAGATATCCCAGGTCCCCCGAGGTGCTTCAAAAAATAGCACAACAGTAATGTCTCGAACCAATTAACCTACACCAATTGGAAAGACTATGTCAAAGCTGAGTGTCGTTAATGGAAGCGCCACCATAACCTTTTCTCGACCAACATTGTAATACCAACCGAATCTAAACCAAATCCTCATTAGATGTTTTAATATAGATCAATTACAATTATATTTCTATCCGAACCTAGATATTTAGCCGACCCACGCCAACAAGCTTCATCATTTAATGCCTAACAAAACCAATAACACATTTTTACTCAACTCTCAACCCAACATAATTTCTAACCCACAAACACCGAACCCCATAACCAATAAATGTCACACACACAATAACAAAACCAATAGCATACCCCGTACTACCAACAATAATCACAATTTTTTTTTACCAATATCCATCAACTAACCCATTATACATATACCAAAACACTAAACAAACAAATGAAACAAACATAGACTACCAAACATCACATTATGACTTTCTTTTTATCCCCAACAAAACATTCACACCAATTTCACCATTCAACTGACCTGACAATAACCCAACCGTGACCACATCAACCCAAACAATACAATTGTACTACAAAAACATGACCAACAAACTCAGTTACGACAACACTGACATCCAAACACGAAACTTTTAAGAATTACAAGAATTATTTTTGGATGAGCCTAAACCGGGGAACTTCATATCAAGCACATGATGAGAATCGAATGATACTTATATGACAGATATAACCTCATTCGTGTGAAACCGTTGGTCACTTCAATCAACAGGGTCATAATCATTAATATAAAAAATATTTTTGTATGTGTAACTCCACTATAATTATATAATATTTATTTTTATTTTAAACATAAATAGTTTAGAATATATTGAAGAAAATTGAATATTAAGGTAATAAAGTTAGGAATTATGTTTAGTGTGGTATAAAGATTCTAAAAACAACACTTACTAGTACTTTAAATTAAAAAATGATATTGACCCAATAACTCACCATCATACATTTGTCATATGATACATCCAATGAGAGGAAAGACATTTAAAAGTGTGAAACTTTTTTACAAGTATATTATTGTAGACACTCATTTAAACTTGAAAACTAATAATTGTACTTAACTTCCCTTTCAAAATCATCACACACTTATATCTAGCTAATGGTCACTAGCTACTAACTACAGCAAAAAGATATCATTGAAAGAACACCAAAGTAAATATCAAATAGTGGAAAAATTATTATTTGGAGTCCATTATTACACTATTTTGTGGCTGAAACTTATTCAACATTCACATTGTCCGTTTCTAGTAAACAGAAGAAGCCACCAAAGACTATGCATAGAGAGAGAAAAGAAAAGGTTTGAGTTTCAACTTGGATTTGGAGTACTAGCTAAAACCTTAACTATAATAACATTGTTTGAAAATAAAGTGTAGTAGTAATAATATTCTATATAATATATATTACAGTAATGTTCCAATTCCAAAAGTAGAAAATTTGATGAAATTGAAAACAACCCATGATTTTAATCCCAAATGGGTGATAAAAAATCATCAGAAAAAGTAGCATAGAATTCAATTCCATCTTCAAAACCGATTGAGGGAGTAAAGGGATGATGATAAACCCAGTTAGTACTATCCACCGAGTCATCAAGCAAAACAAACTCAGAACCAGCTGAGTCAACAACCGAGTCATTTTCACCTTCGTTAATTTTAGGAAGTTCAACAATTTGACTAAGTTCTTGTTCTTGTTCATGTTCAGACTCATCAGATTCAGAACAACATTGATCGGTCACGTGCGCGACAGGTTCATCAAAGTCAACCATAGCTGCTGCCGCGGTTGCTGCGGCTTGAATGTCACGTGGTGCTGACGTGGCAGGTATAGGAAGCATGTTGGAGATATTAGGAAAGTTGAGAATTGCGGTTTTGCCTTTGATGGTTAAAGCTGCTACGTCGTGTGCTCTAGCTGCAGCTTCTGGTGTTGAGAATGTTCCGAGCCAGATTCGTGATTTTTTGCGAGGCTCTCGAATTTCAGACACCCATTTTCCCCAGCTGCGTTTTCTTACTCCATGGTAGGTTGGGTGTTTGCTGTTGTTGTTGTTGTTGTCGTCTCTGGGCTTTGTTGGGGTTTGTTTTTGGGTTGAATGTGAAGGTGGTGAAGAAGACGAAGAGGTGGAGGAGTTTGAGGTTGTTGTCGTGGTGGTTGTTTCTGAAGAGGTTGTTGTTGTTGTTGTTGTTTGTGTCATTGTTGTGAGTGAGTTGTTTGTTATTGTGAATTTATGGAAGAGAATGTAGAGAGAGAGAGAGAGAGAGAGAGAGAGAGAGAGAGAGAGAGAGTAGAAGTAGAGTAGGGAGAGAAAAAGAAGAAAGAATGAATGAGAAGATAAGTGCCTAATGGTTAATCTTTTTGTAGTGAGGGAAAGGCTCACTCATATAGCGACCCTTGACCTACCAATAATATTGTTATACTTTTACAATTAATCAATCTTTTCAACAAAGAAAATTCTTTTTGTTAATAGATTTTAACTATTATCTCCATTTCAAATTAGGTATCCTATTAAAGAATAATTATTTTATCACTTTTATAATTCTACATAAACTAAAAAAACTAAAAAATTATACTCATTTTCCCCCGCATGGTTTTACTCTATTGATAGCATTTTTTGGGTTCATAGTTGAGAAAGTTGAAATAACTACAAAACTAAGTGCATGTTCAGTCAAGAGTATTTCAAGTAAAATGAAAATAGTAAAATAAAGCTTTTAGTGTGTAAAATAGAGTATTTATTGTAAGAACAAGTAGTGAATGATGCAGGAGAGTTCTAGTTCTAGTAGTAGAATGATGAAGCAGAGGAATGAGTCCTTTTCTAGGACATAAGGTCCCACATGAAATATAAATAATTGTAGGTGCAACGTTCACATATAAGATTATTTAATTATGTGAAAAAGCCTCATAAGTCCACGTAGTCTAGTCTTTCTTTTTCTTGTGCCCGTTGCGATTAAATTGTCAGTTATGTTATCTTGTCCAAGACGCCACTCCTCAACTTGTTCAACAAAATTTCACAACCATTTTGCTTTTGACACTTTTCACCTTTTCTTCTTGTTAAATAAAGATATGCAAATGCAATTATGGGGTTATATCTCAATAGCTCTAAATTTTAATTGCAATTATTTAAAAAGAACACAATTTAATATTTGAATACCCTAATACTCTAAGTCCTAATTAAAGATAGATTTTTTTCTTTTAATATATTGCGACATTCGTTGTCTTACAAATTGATCAATAACAAGTTATATCTAACTTTACTTATAGAATAAAGTTAATTTGTGTTTTAAAATCCATGTTAAGAAATCATAAATTGAAATGTTCTCCAGACGTGTTTGGTTAAATTTGATGAAACTTAACATCCGACTCAGTCAATAATCGTTAAATTGAATTAAGTGTTTAATTTGTATCTCTAAAACTACATCTGAACCGAATCAATTCATTTATCAATAGATTGGGTTGAGTTGGGTTCGCGAGTCATTTACCAAATTTTTAAAAAAATTAATTCAATTAATAAATAAATTTTACATAAATATTAAAACATCATAAAATTTTTATATTTAATTTGAATAAAATGTTTCATTTAATACCTAAATTTTTTTTCAGAATATAAATCAAGTCCAAAAAAAAGAGGATAGAATATAATTTAAATGGTTAGATATATCACAATTTCAAACTTTATTTAAACTTTTATATTTTTACAATTATATATATATATATATATATATATATATATATATATATATATATATATATATATATATATATATATATATATATATATATATATATATATATATATATATATATATATATATATATATATATATATATATATATATATGGAATATTACTAAATTATTTATAAAAATATAAAATAAAAATAATATCACATGTTATTGGATTGGATTTACGTGCGGATTTAAAATTTTGAATTCGTTACTTAAACTAAATACCAATGAATTTGAATGAGTTAATTTAAATTAAATTTCTACATAATTGTGTTAGGTTAAAATAAAAGTTGGATTTGTTTGGTTGAATAGGCTCATTGGTTGATTCGGAAGGCCCCTAATGATAAAGTTGTGTTGAAAAAGCAAATATAAAATATTAATTATATATTTTTAATCAAATTAATACATAATTTTTAAAACAAACTTAGCTGTCTATTTATAAGTCTTGTTATAATATTACAAATTAGCATTATTCTTAATTTATTATAATATTAAAAATCTATTGATTTGGAGTACCTACCATTTATTTGATCACTCTTAATTTATATTCATGCACGAAATTTTAGAGGTTGTACTGGAAAAACTAAAATTCTACATTAGTTTAGTGTTCAAGAAAACTTTTATTTCCAAAAATATTTATTAATTTAATATAATTTTTTATTTTATATGTTTTTGTATTATTATATGTTATTATGTTATATTTTACCTCGAACATATATTTTATCATATTTTAATAATATTAATATTAATTCTTTTTTTATATATAATTTTAACTTGAGTATCAACAAATCAATTTAAATTAAATTATACTTTTATTGAATATTGGATCAAATTCTTATTTTTATATAAATTCTTCAAATTCGACTACCGATACCTCTATCTAATGGAAAAACATAAATATTTGTTAACTTTGTGAAAACATTTTATATTTTTAATTTTACTTGCCGAGATAATAACTTGTTGAATTCTGAACAATTGTATACATTTTTTTAAATAATAAAAATATTATTCTTAAAACGTATAATTTTAGTTAACATTTCATCTAAGACTTAATAATATTTTTAGTTAATATTTTATGTTTTTATGGGCATGTAAGACTCAATAAAAATTTTGTAAAAAATTGAACCAACTTAAATCATATTTATTTGATTTTATTTGGTTTAGTTTTATTTCTAAAAGTCAATCAAACGAAATCGAACAACATGCTTTTTTCTCTCGTGATTCAGATGATTTTAGCATTAAAATCGTCCAAACCACACCGTTTGATTAAACTAAAATTTTAAGTGCGAGTAAGAGAATATTTATAAGGTTAAGACATATAGGTTTGGGTTTTCAATTGGGTGTGAGATAAGTGAAGTTTGGATTGTAACATAATGCAGTTCTATTTGGTTTAATTCAGTTTGCAAAATATAAACCGCAAACCAAATAAAACCCTGCGGTTTTTTGCGATTTTCTATTTGATTTGGTTTCGTTTGCGATTTTCTATTGGGTTAGTTTGCTTTTGACCACCCCTACATACACCTATAGAGAACACCATAATTTTGAGTTAAATCACGGATACGTTACCAAATAACAACAAAACTCAACATATTTAGCGAAAAACTTCTCATTCAATATACAAAAATCAGATTAGACAAAAGTAGAATGAAAAATATAAAATAGTGGCATAAAACAATATCAAAAATATTATAATAATAAAAAAACAGAGAAGATGAGAGAATAGAAAAGATGAAAAAGAATGAACGGAAGAGATGCGAGATTAGAGAAGAAAGGTGCAATAAAATGTAATTGAAAGAGAAAAGAGTAACATAAAAATGAGAAGATGAAAAAAAAGAACATAATAAATGAGAGATTATAGTAGAAAAGGTGAGACGCACATAGCAAAGAAGATGAAAAGAATTCATGATACTGCTATGAGAGATTTGAGAAGGTTGAAAGTAAAACCCTAAGTATGAGTAAGATAATATTTGTAAGGTTAAGGCATATAGGTTTAAGTTTTTTGTTGGATGTGTGATAAGTGAAGTTTGCATTGTAACATAATGCAGTTTGATTTGGTTAATTCGATTTACAAAATACAAATGGCAAACCAAATCAAACCGTGCAGTTTTGTTAAAAAATGACCCAAACACATCCAAACCAAATGCGATTTTTTGCGATTTCGGTTTGATTTTGTTTGGTTTGCGATTTTCAATTGAGTTGATTTGATTTTGAACACCCCTAAATACACCTAAAGAGAACAACATATTTTTGTGTTTAGTCATTGATACATTACTAAATAACAACAAAACTCATCATATTCAGACAAAAACTTCTCATTTAATATACAAAAATTAGGTTAAACAAAAATATAATAAAAAACAAAAAATAGTAGCATAAAACAATACAAAAAATATCATAATAAAAAAGAAAATGCGGAGGAGACGATAGATTAGAGAAGATGAAAAAGAAAGAACGGAAGAGATGCGAGATTAAAGAAGAAAGGTGCGATAAACGTAATTGAAAGAGAAAACAGTGACATAAAAATGAGAAGATGAAAAAAAAGAACATAATATATGAGAGGTTATAATAGAAAAGGTGAGACGTACATGACAAAGAAGATGAGAAGAATTCGCGATACTACTATGAGAGATTTGAAAAGGTTGAAAGTAAAACCATAAGTGTGAGTAAGATAATATTTGTAAGGTTAAGGCATATAAGTTTGAGTTTTCTGTTAGAATGTGGGATAAGTGAAGTTCAGATTATAACATAATACGGTTTGGTCTGGTTTAATTCGATTTGCAAAATACAAACCGCAAACCAAACCAAACCGTGCAATTTTGTTTAAAAATGACTCAAACACATCCAAACCAAATGCGGTTTTTAGAAGTGTCAATTTGATTTGATTTTGTTTACAGTTTTCTATTGAGTTGATTTGATTTTGTTTGCGATTTTCTATTGAGTTGGTTTGATTTTGAACACCCCTAATTTTCATACGTTTAAAAAAACATACAATTTATCAAATAATTAAATAATTTAGAGATTTAAATAATATTTGCATATAAAGTATTTTAATATAAAATTTAATTTTAAAAAATCATGATAGTTTCATTTTGATGTATCATCAAACAATGGTAGGTCCTAAAACCTAAATATTATATAATAAAAAAAAACCAAAAATACAAAAACTATACTCCTATTTAAGTTGGAAATTATTAGTAAGTACTAATCATAAGTTTATCTTTTTGTGAGAAAAGATGGAACACATCTACCACGGGCCACAGTACTGGGATTTTGTATGTTTAAGTGCTTCATTAAATATTGTCTTAATCGTCCTTTCTAAATAAAAGGAAGAAAACATCTCTACCATTTTCATGCTTAATTGACATGTATGGTACCAAGTTAAGTCTACTGTTAAACCAAATGCCATAGAGGCCACACATTTTTAGGTATCACTATACATATAGAGGTCACACATTTTTAGGTATATATATAT